CAGAGCAGAATTAAATAAGATTTTAAAATGAAGGGAATTATTGAAGAGACAAGAATGATTTTAAAAGATTTAAATTAACCCTGGTAATGTGGTTGTTGCTGGGGAGCATACTGATTCTGTTGGGGATTGTATTGCTGTCCTTGCGGTCGGTATTGAGCAGCAATGGCAGCCGCTTGGTTCTGATAAGTTGGCTGCTGTGGTGCTTGTCCATATTGAACATTAGGTTTGTACTGGGAGACCTGAGCCTGATTGGTTAATTGCGGCTGACCCGGTCCTTTACCCAAGTTCGGAGGCTGCTGGGGTGGAATGTTAACGATGGGCTCCCTGTACTGCTGGTACTGAAGCAGCTGCTGAATATTACCTGGTGCTTGATTCAAGGGGCGATAATTTGCCGAAGGCTGGGGTGGTGGATGGTATGGTTGTCTGTGTGCTTGTCTGCGAAATCGAACTGAACAAAAAAAATATAAAACAATGGATAAAAGATCGTGTACATTTTTACTAGAAAAAGTCCATTCAACTTGAATGAAAAAAGAAGGACTTAATGACAAATATTTGTGCATTAATTGACAAAGTCACAAATAGCAAAGTTCTGAATCCAGAAAACAAAATCATAAATTTTTAATTACGGGGGGGCAGGGGGGGGGGCTAAATCAATGAAACAGTTGAGAATGGAACTTATTACATTTCTTACTACTTTTTTTAGTGAATTTTCGGTTTCAAAACTGTCTTAATAATCATTATTGAATGATAGAAATTCGGTTAAATTAATTAAGAACTTTTTCATTGACACGATTATAGCCAAGCTAATGCAGTTTTTTAAACACGATGTGGCTACACTGAGAAAATAGTATATTGTGCATCAAGGGAGGGAAGTCAAGACTAAAAGCCACTTTCCACCCTAGGGCGGAAAGTACTCACTTTCTCCCGCTGATCAGGAAGTAAAGTGCGAACTTTCCGTGCAAGTGCTTTAAAAAAAATTAATTTCGTCACGACTATTTTCTTTCAATCTGTAAATCTGGCAATCACTATGTATTACTCCCATAAGATTTATAAATTCCAAATATATTCTCTTCTGGTCAATAAATATTATTGACTGAAGAATTTTTTTTTTCTCAGTGTGTATCATATTTTAACGTCCTTTTGGGATTGCCACAAGTTGATGAAACTGTTTTAGTCGCCCTCGCTATTAAGAGGTGCAACCCCTTTGCAATTATTGAATAGTCGATTTTTTTTACATATTCTAAAAGTATGGTATATTGAGAGTATACAGAAAAGAGGAAAACTTGAACATTAAGAAGCATGAACGTCGACATATCTCGAAATTAGAAACTTTAAATGTCATTATCTCGAAACCGATAATGATTTTCTACTGCTCGAGTAATAGCTCAAAAAATTCTTGTTCAGTCTGGTTTAAATTAAACAATTAAAACAAATTTTGAGAGGAGAGAGTCTGAGGACACCTTTAAAGTTTCAAAAATAGCCCATAAATAAATTCCTTCTTTGGGGTAAAAGTTGTCGAAAGAACAGTTAAATATTGCAAAATATTACTGAAAAACATCCTGAACGTTCAATCTCAACTTTTTCAAAATTCTTCAAGTCTATCCTTTATCTGCACATGTTAGTAATTGATGCATTTTTTTTAAGATCGACAGAAAGCGCATATCGAGTGCAGCGCTTTTCGACCTATCGAAAAACTTCTCTGCGGAAATCCTCGAAGATATCGCCATTTGATTTTATAAAACAAGAAGTTTTTCCACAATTCAAATATGGATTAAAATTATATTTAAATTTTAAAAAGTTGCCTAGATTCTATCGCCTTGAATAAATCGTAAAAATTCGTCAAAAAACCCTTTCCGAGTGTTCAAAAGGATTGCGCCCCTTAAGGATGCGGTTCTTCCCTCAATTTTTTATAATTCTATGCGTCCAGATTTTATTCCCATGAATTGTTAAAAAATCCGTAAATGAGTGCATAAATAGTTGCATCGAGAAGAATGTCATACACTGTTGGAAAGTTACACTTGAAGCTCCAGGTAAAAAACCGTGAAATTTTCAACAACGACAAGCAAGAATGCAATTTCTTTAGAATTCTACATTAACGAATCCGTTAATTTCTTGAATATTCTGGTAATTCCCAATTTTCAGTTCCAAATGGCTCTGAAAAATAGTGAAAATGTCGAAGTTCCAGCAATAGTTTTCCTGAATGTTCAATCTATAGAAAATTAAATTATCTTTGTTATTGAGTATTCAACACAAGTTACAAATTTAATGAGCGTTTTCAATGGGTCATATTCAATTAGAGTCATGTAATTGAAATTCTGATAAATTTCTAGCAGTGTAAGAAATCGATAGCTCTTTTAATATGTATCGACTTACTTGCACTGTGATCATTCTCGCCATCTGCACGCGCGGCTGCCACCAAAATGCACAGCAGAATCTACAACGAAAGCCATGAAAAATTACCCTTTCTCACAACTCACTACTAAAAATCCTATTCTAAGAATTCAACGAATTACCCCATAACTATAACCCGAATGATTATACTTGAGTCTGGCCCATTATGGTAAGCATTGTTTCATCGTCAATGCGATGTCAATGCATTCCCCAATTCCATGTGAAATAACCATGAAATAACTTTGCCCCGATCTAGTAATCATTGAGACACTTACAAAATACTTCATGGTGTATTTAGTTTGTACTCGGATGCTTCGAGTAATGTGATTTCCGCTGGGGAAATCGAGCACAAACTGGCAAACCAGAGGCGAACGCACTTCTATAAGGAGCAGGGTAGCTATCCACCCCACCAGACTTCATAGGTCATTGATCGTAAATACAACTCCATTTTTCACATTTATTTTTCCAACCGTTGAAACATGAAATCACGTAACATTATCCGGGACAAGGTAACTTCAGGAAGTGATTGGAGTCTGTTTCATAGTCTCTTTTAGTTTGGAAAAATCTTTATCGAGTGCATTCATCAAAATACAACAAATAAGAAAACAAGTTCTTTGTCGATACTTCAGTACTTGAATTATTGACGCTAATATTTCCATCAACCGATAAGAAACCAACTTTGATTAATTTGGTAGATAACAGTGATAGGATTTCCTTCGTATAGGATTTCCTTTCCATCGTATTTTACGAAGAGTTATGGCCACTCCTACGTCTATTATAGACTTTAATTCCCAATAACAGGATTGATTCCTATATAATTTTTTTATTATTTGAAAGTAAATCGAAAGTCTGAAAACACTTAGTTACTTACAGGCACTAGAAACTTTTTGAAATTT